TGAGTGTACCGCCAAGCCGCAACGAAGCTTACTAGTGACGACACACATGCAGAATACGCAATCAGAGGCCTCATGCGCAAGCACACGCCGACAGTGGCAGCCGAGGAGCACACGGCAGCAGCAGCGAATCCGGCCAGAAACCACAACGATGCACAAGCGGCCAGACCAGCCCAGCGACGCTGAGCTAGAGACCTCACTGCCATCGCCTAGGAATCAAATTGAAATATCTAGAAACAAATGCATTAAATGTACCTCATTATCTGTGACTAATAGCATATGCACTTACTCACCTCCACAGCCAACACGATCTCCACTGACACAACGACAACGACAAGTTGCCCAACTGAGGACTACACAACAGCAACAGATCCACCCAACAGCTAAGCGGCGGAGGCAACACGAACCTGTAGAGCCTTCGGTACTGCCTGACCACTCGGCTGAGTGCACTGAGAAGCTGCAACAAAGCCCTCTAGCGACGACGCACATACAGCAGGTACAGTCCGGGGCCGCATGCGCTAATATATGTCGACGGCCAAACTGTGCCTCCCTGCCAGGACTACAACGACAGGGGCAGCCGGAGGGCACACAGCAGCAGCAGCGGATCTGGTCAGGAACCACAGCATTGCACGGTCGACCGGGCCAGCTCCCGAAAGGCGAGCTTGTAACTCCACAATTGCTAATGATTCAGTCTGAAATAGTTGAAAACAAATGCACAACATGTGCTACAATAACAGTGCCTAACAATAAGTACACTCACCTACCTGCAAAGCAAATCCGTTTCCCACTGGCACGGCAACAGCGAGCAGGCCAACCGGGAACCATACAACAGAAGTTGATCCATCCAACAATCAAGCGACGGAGGCAATTAGAACTCGGAGCGCCGTATTCGACTAGGCTTGACCACGGAACTAAGTGCACTGCCAAGCCGCAACGAAGCTTACTAGTGACGACACACATGCAGAATACGCAACCAAAGGCCTCATGCGCAAGCACACGCCGACAGCGGCAGCCGAGGAGCACACGGCAGCAGCAGCGAATCCGGCCAGAAACCACAACGATGCACAAGCGGCCAGGCCAGCTCAGCGATGCTGAGCGAGAAACTCCAATACGTTCGCCCAGGAACCAACTTGAGATACCTAAAAGCAAATGCATAAAATGTACCACAACATCCGTGACTAATAGCATATTTACTCACCTACCTTCACAGCCAACACGATCTCCAGCGCCACAACGACAACGGCGAGCTGCCCAACTGAAGACCACTCAACAACGGCAAATAAATCCAACAGCAAAAAGGCGGAAGCAACTCGAACCTGGTGAGCCGTCCTCGACTCAGCTCCACCTCGCGGCTGAGTGCACTGCGGAGCCGCAACAAACCTCACTAGCGACAACGCACATGCAGCAGGTGCAGCCTGAGGCCTCATACGCCAACACACGCCGACGACCAAGTTGCTCCTCCCTGCCAGGACAACAACGACAATGGCAGCCGAGAAGCACACAGCAGCAGCAGCAATCCCGGGCAACAACCTCAGCGGTGCACAAATGTCCAGATTCGCAGAAACTACGATCCCCTCGGTCTACACAGCAATGCCGCAGACATCTCGTGATCGCAGAGCAGGAACAGACGCAAATCGTGCTGCAACCCTACCGGAGTCCATCACGGCACACGATATGTGACCTATGGCAACCGTCGCAGCTTCAAAATCCGGCCAGCGTATGGCGACCCGGACACAACTGGAGACAACTCGCTCATCGTAAGGCACGTCCGCTTGCGAATCCTCCAGATGGACCTAGAAAAAAAAAAAAAAAAAATAAAAAGAAATAATTAGCTAATAATTAATAATTAGTATTAACAAACATAATATTTTGTATTGTTGTAAACTCCATTTGTATGTAAAATGTTGCCAGACTGTATCTCATAGCAGTCGATCACTTCCGATGCGTGCGATAAACTATTCGTTCATCGCATGCGGAGTGGCCACCCTAAAGTATCGATATGTACACCAATTATATTTGAATATGTTGCTCCGATAGTAACGAACAAATAAAATAGGCAAGCTGCCGAGTGCATCATTCGACAGCAAGCCCTCATCGTGTACAATAGTGCACAGTAACCTGAAAAAAACCAAACGATTTGGTGAAACCATGATCAACTCACTAAGGCGGGACTACAGGGACGGGAAAATAACGCTGGAGTTGGTACAGGATATGATCAAAGACCAGCCCATCGTAATACAAAGACTTATCCTGCCAGAGCCACCTCCGACTACGCAACAATGCCAGTCACATGAACAACAGCAACTCATCGACGATGAAGAGCAGCTTGCTACACGGCTAAAGCTCCTCCAGATACACATGGAACGAGAACTCGACGAGGCGCTCAATGAAGCCACAACAGCGCAACATCAACACGAGTCGGCGTCGACAGAAACACGAGTGGAACCGGACGTGCCGCAGCTAGGGTCGGCAATTCAACACGAACTCTCCAGGCCAATGCAGACAAGACAGCTAAATTCACCAGCAGAGAACCAAATACAGCAGGAAACTGATCTGCACAAGCGAACCTCAAAGCTGTGCATAGCCATGTTCGGCATGCCTCCAACCTGGACTCCTCAGCCATGGCAACAACAACAAAGCCTGCCATCCATAATTCGTCTGCCAGGACACCAACTACATAGGCAGCTGAACAACATAGAGCAGCAACAACAAAACCGACCGAACGCAAGATCATCAATAATACAGCCAATAATACCTGCAAATATGGATCAAAAACATACAACACCGGCAGAGCCAAGGGGTAACAGCAAACACTTACCTGCACAGCCAATTCTACCCCCTCGGTCACGGCATAAGCAGGAAAACACCATCGAGGAGCAGCAACTTATATCACCAGGGCAGGCCCATCAAACATGGCAGCAACAACAACAAAGCCTGCAACGGAGGCACCCTCCACCAAGACAACAGCAAGGGCAGCTGGGGAATACACAGCAGCAGCAAATCTGGTCGGAAACCATAGCAATGCAAAATCGGCCGGGCCAGCACTGGGAGGCTGAGCGTGGAGCTCCACAACAATCGCCTAAGAATCAGACTGCAAATCCTGAAAACAATTGCATTAAACGTACCTCATTATCCGTTACTAATAGCATATGCACTTACTCACCTCCACAGCCAGCGCGATCTCCACTGACACGGCGACAGCAACAAGTTACCCAACTGAGGACTACACAACAGCAAGAGATCCATCCAGCAGTAAAGCGGCGGAGGCAACTCGAACCTTTAGAGCCTTTGGTCCAGCCTGACCACTCGGCTGAGTGCACCGAGAAGCTGCATCAAAGCCCACTAGCGACGATGCACATGCAGCGGGAACAGACCGGGGTCTTATGCGCAAATATAGGTCGATGGCCAAACTGTGCCTCCCTGCCAGGACTACAACGACAGGGGCAGCCGGAGGGCACACAGCAGCAGCAGCGGATCTGGTCAGGAACCACAGCATTGCACGGTCGACCGGGCCAGCTCCCGGAAAGCGAGCTTGTAACTCCACAATTGCTAATGATTCAGTCTGAAATAACTGAAAGCAAATGCACAAAATGTGCTACAATAACAGTGCCTAATAAAAAGTGCACTCACATACCTGTACAGCCAATCCGTTTCCCGCTGGCACGGCAACAGCGAGCTGACCAACCGGGAATCATACAGCAGCAGTTGACCCATCCAGCAGCCAAGCGACGGAGGCAATCAGAACCTGGAGACCTGTTTCCGATTAAGCTTGACCACGGAACTGAGTGCACACTCAAGCCGCAACGAAGCTTACTAGTGACGACACACATGCAGAACACGCAACCAGAGGCCTCATGCGCAAGCACACGCCGACAGCGGCAGCCGAGGAGCACACGGCAGCAGCAACGAATCCGGCCAGAAACCACAACGATGCACAAGCGGCCAGACCAGCCCAGCGACGCTGAGCGAGAGACCTCACTGCCATCGCCTAGGAATCAAATTGAAATACCTAGAAACAAATGCATTAAATGTACCTCATTATCTGTGACTAATAGCATATGCACTTACTCACCTCCACAGCCAACACGATCTCCACTGACACAACGACAACGACAAGTTGCCCAACTGAGGACTACACAACAGCAACAGATCCATCCAACAGCTAAGCGGCGGAGGCAACACGAACTTGTAGAGCCTTCGCTACTGCCTGACCACTCGGCTGAGTGCACTGAGAAGCTGCATCAAAGCCCTCTAGCGACGACGCACATACAGCAGGTACAGTCCGGGGCCGCATGCGCTAATATATGCCGACGGCCAAACTGTGCCTCCCTGCCAGGACAACAACGACAAGGGCAGCCGGAGAGCACACAGCGACAACAGCAAATCTGGTCAGAAACCACAACATTGCACAATTGGCCAGGCCAGCTCCCGGAAGCCGTGTGTGGAACTCCACAACTGCCAATAACTCAGTCTGAAATAGTTGAAAACAAATGCACAATATGTGCTACAATAACAGTGCCTAACAATAAGTACACTCACTTACCTGCAAAGCAAATCCGTTTCCCACTGGCACGGCAACAGCGAGCAGGCCAACCGGGAACCATACAACAGAAGTTGATCCATCCAACAATCAAGCGACGGAGGCAATTAGAACTCGGAGCGCCGTATTCGACTAGGATTGACCACGGAACTGAGTGTACCGCCAAGCCGCAACGAAGCTTACTAGTGACGACACACATGCAGAATACGCAATCAGAGGCCTCATGCGCAAGCACACGCCGACAGTGGCAGCCGAGGAGCACACGGCAGCAGCAGCGAATCCGGCCAGAAACCACAACGATGCACAAGCGGCCAGACCAGCCCAGCGACGCTGAGCTAGAGACCTCACTGCCATCGCCTAGGAATCAAATTGAAATATCTAGAAACAAATGCATTAAATGTACCTCATTATCTGTGACTAATAGCATATGCACTTACTCACCTCCACAGCCAACACGATCTCCACTGACACAACGACAACGACAAGTTGCCCAACTGAGGACTACACAACAGCAACAGATCCACCCAACAGCTAAGCGGCGGAGGCAACACGAACCTGTAGAGCCTTCGGTACTGCCTGACCACTCGGCTGAGTGCACTGAGAAGCTGCAACAAAGCCCTCTAGCGACGACGCACATACAGCAGGTACAGTCCGGGGCCGCATGCGCTAATATATGTCGACGGCCAAACTGTGCCTCCCTGCCAGGACTACAACGACAGGGGCAGCCGGAGGGCACACAGCAGCAGCAGCGGATCTGGTCAGGAACCACAGCATTGCACGGTCGACCGGGCCAGCTCCCGAAAGGCGAGCTTGTAACTCCACAATTGCTAATGATTCAGTCTGAAATAGTTGAAAACAAATGCACAACATGTGCTACAATAACAGTGCCTAACAATAAGTACACTCACCTACCTGCAAAGCAAATCCGTTTCCCACTGGCACGGCAACAGCGAGCAGGCCAACCGGGAACCATACAACAGAAGTTGATCCATCCAACAATCAAGCGACGGAGGCAATTAGAACTCGGAGCGCCGTATTCGACTAGGCTTGACCACGGAACTAAGTGCACTGCCAAGCCGCAACGAAGCTTACTAGTGACGACACACATGCAGAATACGCAACCAAAGGCCTCATGCGCAAGCACACGCCGACAGCGGCAGCCGAGGAGCACACGGCAGCAGCAGCGAATCCGGCCAGAAACCACAACGATGCACAAGCGGCCAGGCCAGCTCAGCGATGCTGAGCGAGAAACTCCAATACGTTCGCCCAGGAACCAACTTGAGATACCTAAAAGCAAATGCATAAAATGTACCACAACATCCGTGACTAATAGCATATTTACTCACTTACCTTCACAGCCAACACGATCTCCAGCGCCACAACGACAACGGCGAGCTGCCCAACTGAAGACCACTCAACAACGGCAAATAAATCCAACAGCAAAAAGGCGGAAGCAACTCGAACCTGGTGAGCCGTCCTCGACTCAGCTCCACCTCGCGGCTGAGTGCACTGCGGAGCCGCAACAAACCTCACTAGCGACAACGCACATGCAGCAGGTGCAGCCTGAGGCCTCATACGCCAACACACGCCGACGACCAAGTTGCTCCTCCCTGCCAGGACAACAACGACAATGGCAGCCGAGAAGCACACAGCAGCAGCAGCAATCCCGGGCAACAACCTCAGCGGTGCACAAATGTCCAGATTCGCAGAAACTACGATCCCCTCGGTCTACACAGCAATGCCGCAGACATCTCGTGATCGCAGAGCAGGAACAGACGCAAATCGTGCTGCAACCCTACCGGAGTCCATCACGGCACACGATATGTGACCTATGGCAACCGTCGCAGCTTCAAAATCCGGCCAGCGTATGGCGACCCGGACACAACTGGAGACAACTCGCTCATCGTAAGGCACGTCCGCTTGCGAATCCTCCAGATGGACCTAGAAAAAAAAAAAAAAAAAATAAAAAGAAATAATTAGCTAATAATTAATAATTAGTATTAACAAACATAATATTTTGTATTGTTGTAAACTCCATTTGTATGTAAAATGTTGCCAGACTGTATCTCATAGCAGTCGATCACTTCCGATGCGTGCGATAAACTATTCGTTCATCGCATGCGGAGTGGCCACCCTAAAGTATCGATATGTACACCAATTATATTTGAATATGTTGCTCCGATAGTAACGAACAAATAAAATAGGCAAGCTGCCGAGTGCATCATTCGACAGCAAGCCCTCATCGTGTACAATAGTGCACAGTAACCTGAAAAAAATCCGGCCAGAAACCACAACGATGCACAAGCGGCCAGGCCAGCTCAGCGATGCTGAGCGAGAAACTCCAATACGTTCGCCCAGGAACCAACTTGAGATACCTAAAAGCAAATGCATAAAATGTACCACAACATCCGTGACTAATAGCATATTTACTCACTTACCTTCACAGCCAACACGATCTCCAGCGCCACAACGACAACGGCGAGCTGCCCAACTGAAGACCACTCAACAACGGCAAATAAATCCAACAGCAAAAAGGCGGAAGCAACTCGAACCTGGTGAGCCGTCCTCGACTCAGCTCCACCTCGCGGCTGAGTGCACTGCGGAGCCGCAACAAACCTCACTAGCGACAACGCACATGCAGCAGGTGCAGCCTGAGGCCTCATACGCCAACACACGCCGACGACCAAGTTGCTCCTCCCTGCCAGGACAACAACGACAATGGCAGCCGAGAAGCACACAGCAGCAGCAGCAATCCCGGGCAACAACCTCAGCGGTGCACAAATGTCCAGATTCGCAGAAACTACGATCCCCTCGGTCTACACAGCAATGCCGCAGACATCTCGTGATCGCAGAGCAGGAACAGACGCAAATCGTGCTGCAACCCTACCGGAGTCCATCACGGCACACGATATGTGACCTATGGCAACCGTCGCAGCTTCAAAATCCGGCCAGCGTATGGCGACCCGGACACAACTGGAGACAACTCGCTCATCGTAAGGCACGTCCGCTTGCGAATCCTCCAGATGGACCTAGAAAAAAAAAAAAAAAAAAATAAAAAGAAATAATTAGCTAATAATTAATAATTAGTATTAACAAACATAATATTTTGTATTGTTGTAAACTCCATTTGTATGTAAAATGTTGCCAGACTGTATCTCATAGCAGTCGATCACTTCCGATGCGTGCGATAAACTATTCGTTCATCGCATGCGGAGTGGCCACCCTAAAGTATCGATATGTACACCAATTATATTTGAATATGTTGCTCCGATAGTAACGAACAAATAAAATAGGCAAGCTGCCGAGTGCATCATTCGACAGCAAGCCCTCATCGTGTACAATAGTGCACAGTAACCTGAAAAAAAAGACCAGCCCAGCGACGCTGAGCTAGAGACCTCACTGCCATCGCCTAGGAATCAAATTGAAATATCTAGAAACAAATGCATTAAATGTACCTCATTATCTGTGACTAATAGCATATGCACTTACTCACCTCCACAGCCAACACGATCTCCACTGACACAACGACAACGACAAGTTGCCCAACTGAGGACTACACAACAGCAACAGATCCACCCAACAGCTAAGCGGCGGAGGCAACACGAACCTGTAGAGCCTTCGGTACTGCCTGACCACTCGGCTGAGTGCACTGAGAAGCTGCAACAAAGCCCTCTAGCGACGACGCACATACAGCAGGTACAGTCCGGGGCCGCATGCGCTAATATATGTCGACGGCCAAACTGTGCCTCCCTGCCAGGACTACAACGACAGGGGCAGCCGGAGGGCACACAGCAGCAGCAGCGGATCTGGTCAGGAACCACAGCATTGCACGGTCGACCGGGCCAGCTCCCGAAAGGCGAGCTTGTAACTCCACAATTGCTAATGATTCAGTCTGAAATAGTTGAAAACAAATGCACAACATGTGCTACAATAACAGTGCCTAACAATAAGTACACTCACCTACCTGCAAAGCAAATCCGTTTCCCACTGGCACGGCAACAGCGAGCAGGCCAACCGGGAACCATACAACAGAAGTTGATCCATCCAACAATCAAGCGACGGAGGCAATTAGAACTCGGAGCGCCGTATTCGACTAGGCTTGACCACGGAACTAAGTGCACTGCCAAGCCGCAACGAAGCTTACTAGTGACGACACACATGCAGAATACGCAACCAAAGGCCTCATGCGCAAGCACACGCCGACAGCGGCAGCCGAGGAGCACACGGCAGCAGCAGCGAATCCGGCCAGAAACCACAACGATGCACAAGCGGCCAGGCCAGCTCAGCGATGCTGAGCGAGAAACTCCAATACGTTCGCCCAGGAACCAACTTGAGATACCTAAAAGCAAATGCATAAAATGTACCACAACATCCGTGACTAATAGCATATTTACTCACTTACCTTCACAGCCAACACGATCTCCA